ACGGCAGCCATTTCGGAACTGCCGATCAGCTGTTTTTAAAACATCGCTGTGAAAATCGGTAAGCGAAACAGCTTACCGATCATCGCAAAGCGATGTTTTACCATTAAAAACATCGCAATGTGATCGCTTTTGCGATCGCAAAAAATCCGTCGCTATGCAGATTCATCGTTAACCGAGGCACCACTGTATTGGAGGGCCAAGGGAAGATGGAAGCAGTGGCCTCAACCCTGATCTACACAGAAATAGATGTCTGTGTGTGCAACTACAGCATCCACAGGCTACATGAGAGAACATGAAAGGCCATGTGCAGAGAATTGTGAAGTAGAGCACATGTTCCCTATAGCTGCCTCTGCATATTGTAGCATGGGAGGGAATTGCTCTTTGTGCCGTGAGCAAAGGCAAAGTTTCCTTGATAGGTCTGTTTCTTGAAACATTTGTTGCACTTCTGAGAATGTGAAAAAGAGACTGGAACCGACTTAGCTCAAGCTATCAAGGTATTTCTAAACTGAATGCATTAAAACTTAAATGTTGCTCTCTGCTGTGAATTCAGCTTGCTTAACAAGGTTTTTGTTTAAGGCACAAGTGTCCATGTCCTGTTTGTTGTAAACTCTTTGTGTTCCCCTTAGGAGATTCCACTTTCCGAAATTCTCCAGGTGACACAGCCACGGGATTTCTCGAATGTGGTGCAGGGCAGCAACCCGCATTGCTTTGAAATAATAACTGACACAATGGTTTACTTTGTTGGTGAAAACAATGGCAGCAACTACCACAACCCTGCTTTAGCTGCTACAGGAGTTGGACTGGATGTAGCTCAGAGCTGGGAGAAAGCTATTCGTCAAGCTTTGATGCCAGTCACGCCTCAGGCTAGCATTTGCACTGCTGCAGGTCAAGGGAAAGATCACAGTAAGAGGAAAAAAACATTACTCCCCCCCCCCATGCTTAACTATTAAGTGACTAGTCCTAGTCCAAAGGAGGAATGTGCTTTTTCTTAAAGGCAAAGGCCTTACTACATAAATGTAAATAATAATATTAGTTAGCATTATTTGTTTGTCTTATTTATAGGGTGCCTTTTCCCCTCTAATGGGACTCAAGGTGGCTCACAGTATTAAAATTAATGGTATAATTATTCAGTGTTTTATATCATGCAGTTGACTTACAGTATGAATAGAAATGCTTTCCTACCTTTTCCTGGTATGTTATTCCAAATCTGGTGTGTGTGTGTGTGTGTGTGTGTGTGTGTGTGTGTGTGTGTGTGTGTGTGTG